ATGATCTTCCCTTCTTAAGTCCATCTATGTCTGGAACACACAATCTGTCTTGGTACCTCAAAGTACCATTATCTCCCCCTTATTCAAAAGCCATCGTTTTATACTTGTGAATCTCCTCTTTCAACTGCAACACGTATGGATCATCAAATTGTTTCTCCTTCTCTTTGGATACTAAGGGGGAACAAGTCATGTTCTAGACAACAACTCCATCATCTTCGGGGTCCGAAGTCGAACTCCTATCTTGGTTGGTAATGGCAAACTTCTTTCACCAAAGTTCTGTTTTCTACCTCAATCATGAGTTATACTTCTCACACTTTATCTTCTTAAGCACTTCCTGAAAACACTTATAAAATTGTTGTGACCCAAGTCTTTGACCAGTACTTCGAAGACTAGAGTCTCTTGCAATCTACCCTGGTAACACTTAAATAGGCATGATTTTATAGCTTTTCTGTGATCACTTTATCATCAATAACTAAGCTCGATGATCATTCTACTCACTTTGTGTTTCTTACACATGCTATACATAATCCCTGTGGTAATTATAAAATTTTCCCTCATTACCAGACTGATTTTCTTTTTCATATCCCATGCTAACTATTCAGGTTTCAAATCACTAACTGGACTTACAAAAAAATTTCACATCACCCCTTAGACCAAAGGTCTTATACTTGCGGATCCTTCTCTTTTTGTTGGGATCCAAATAACTTTTCTTATTTTCTGCAATTCTTTGCACTCTACGTCAATAACGACTCATCTTCCAACTTATTTCTGAGCTAGGAAAAAAACTAAATTATTCACATAACGGAAAGCTGATGTATTGACAACTATTATACACAATCTTAATAATTTAACTCTGATCTATATGAGTTATGTGTTTTTTTTAATCTGAAGAAAGTAGAACCTGTTGCTACTGTGGGTGAGAACACGTGCGAAAGTTGGAAATGCCTCCAGAGTAGTTGTTTTTATCTGATCAATATGCTTCCTCTCTTTGCCTTTTGGTTACCATGATCTGTGTTTTCTCATTTGATATGTATAGTGATTATTTATGCAAGTTCCTTAGGCATGCAACTATTTCCATTCAATTGGGAACTACCAGCGACGCCTATCAACGATAGTTCTGCTATATCTTCAGCTAACGACGGCCAAAAATATTAGTCACAAAGGGAAAACTGGAGAGTCGCCTGCTTTGTCGGCGAATTCAATTGTAAATTGTAGTGTTGCCCTTGACGGATACAATCATGAGTCCTCACAACATATGACATTTGAGGCGAATTCATTTGTAAATTGTAGCATTGGTCTTGACACACACAATCATGATTCCTCACAACATATAACATTAGCAGCGTGTTATGCTATAAATTGCACACATATTGATGATTTTGATATCATTAAATATATATGGTTTACTTAAATGAAGTCGATTCCTCTCATCATTGAATAGAGTAGGACATGTTTAAACTGCAAGTTACTAAAAGAGTAGCACTAACACAATTGTTCAACGAAGGTTATCGTCAGAATCGCTAACACACACATTGTATAACCAAACGATATAAATTTCTTCACGGTGTGCCCAGACAAAGACCAATTTATGTTATTTTATACTTTAATTAATATTTCGTCCAGTGACAGAGCTAGAGTGTCGGGACCGGGTTCGTCCGAATGCGGTAACTTTGATTCGAACCCTGTGTTTGTCTTACAAAATTCATTGAATATATTAAATAATTAATTTAGAACCCAACAACTTTTAACGATTAAAATCCCGAACCCATAAGCTTGAAATTCTGGCTCCGCCTCTGATTTCGTCTATCGGTATTTACATCTATTGCGCTATAACGAAACAATTTGAGTAGCCAGAAGAAAAAAAGTCAAGCTTTTACGGAACCAATTTTCATGTTATGTTATAATATATATTCTCTATAATAGCATTTCGTTATAACATCCAAAACAAATGAGGCTGTTATAGAGAAGTTTGATTGTAGTTGCTTCATAAATATTTCACTGCCTTCACTGTACCCTTCTGTTTTTCACTGCATTATGTAATGACCTTTTGATTTGTATCAACAGTTAATATGATATAATGCCAACATCAGATGATTTAATTGCTGATTATGGATTCTTAATCCAAAATAACTACGATGACACATAAGTCATTTCAAGATAAATTTTAGCTTACACCTACAATTCAAGACCAACACCTGTAAATTTTTTAACACTTGTGCACAGCATGGCCTAATTTTCTTGAACAGTGACAACATAAACTTGGGCTCTCATCTTCTGCTTCCCTTCTTCCTTCATTGTTTTTCACTCTTCAGCTACACTGAAAGTTTTAACAAAAAAAAACTAACGTACTCCATTCATCTTATACTTTTTAATTTTCTTAAAGCTAAGTTTTGTTCAAGTCACGATTTAAAATTTCTACAGCTTTTAATAAAATATAACCAATGACATCCATGTTTATCTATATTCTTTCCTTCTATAAGATTTAACTTTATTTCACCACTCAGTTTTACCACTTGAAATTAGAGGACATAACCAGGATCATACGGGAATCACGATTACCATCAGGGTACATGCAAGTAGTAACATAGAAAAGGGAAAACTCACTCCTTTTCAGGTTGATAGAAGGAACCCCAAAAAAATGAAGAAAAATTAGATGCACCATAAAATTCACACCTGATAAACTGCAACAGTAAAACAATAAATTACATTTATGCGCAAACATCAGGTTAGACAACATAACTTTGCGAGAGAATAAACCATCCAAACTAAATCGACAAGTTATGATCTCAACGGAGCACATAATTAACCCCCCGTCATGTCTAACATCAATTGTTTCAACTGTTTTCTTTATATAATTTCTAGCTCAATTACTTTGTCCTACAATTTCATTCTTGACCGGTTGCAAGATTCTTAAAAGATGGAGCAGCGATATACCATCCATGAAATCACGCCATTTACTAGAGATTGGACTTGTAAAATACAAGTTGTTGATGAAATCCGCCCCAAAATTAGCAGAGATCAGCGGGTGCACTTTCAAACAACCACCGTCCAGGACGAAAACATAAGTTCACAAACATCTCAACTACATTGTAAAGCTTCTACCATATCTATAAAGACTTTCTCCATCTTAGATGTTAACAAATTGCAGGAAGACCAAATTTGCATCATAACATATGGTCCTGAAGTCCCATATTATGACAACCTGTTTAAACATTTCCACACATACCTCATNTATTAATGTAGTTAAGTAATTTGTGATTATATACGAGCGAATTGGAGGTGAAAACGCGGGGTAAAACTATAATTGAGGCTTGAGTTGTGTTCAAGGCGTTGAGGTAAGTGTTTGGTCTAACCCTAGCTTGAGGGACTAGGAGTTGAGTCTTATTTGCTAATTGCTTCTTGTTGAGTACGACGTATAGGCATGGTGACGAGTATCTATACGTTGGTGTCGAGCATGACCGTGAGTCTTAAATTGATAGTTGTTGTGTTCTTAAATGACCCTTCGGACGCTTTAAATTGATGACTCTTGAGATTGAGTAGAGATTTAGCTATTCTTGTGGACTTCATTTATGCTTGAGTACTGGTATTAATCGAGCTGAGTAAGAGTTGAGCTAGGATTTGGTTATAGCTGATTCTCCCTTGCCGGGATGGTTATTTTGATATTGTCGTTCCCTTGCCGGGAAATTTTTACTATGTTGCTTTGGTTTTCCTTGCCGGAATTTTTATTGTGACTTTGTTATTGATTAAAATGGGAGCGGGTGGTACGCCTACCACAAGTTATTGATTGAAATGGGAGCGGGTGGTACGCCTACCACGAGTTATGATGAAATGAGAGCGGGTGGTACGCCTACCACGAGATTTGATGAAATGGGAGCGGGTGGTACGCCTACCACGAGATTTGATGAAATGGGAGGGGGTGATACGCCTACCACGGAAACATTGAGAAATGGGATCGGGTTGCACGCCTGCAACGAGATGTGTACTGACAGTGAAATCTGCTTTTATTTCCCTTATCCGTGTTAGAGTTAATTTATTTATGTTCCTATTATTCTCCTGAAATTCTGTATTATCTGCTATCCCCGAAGCATGTTCCCCCTCCCATTTAAAATGTTTATTCTTGTTATTCATTATTCCTGTTCAGTGTATTTCTAGACTTGTAAATATAATTACATTCTTATAGATGCTCGTGACTTGTGACACCCCGATTAGGGCTGTGTTGGGTTGTATTTCTGCTAATTAATACTATTAAGTCCATATTTAAACTGTTTATTTATGTTTAACTATTTTTGAAAAGACGAGTTAGGATAGTTGGCTGGCCTCGTCTTCACGAGAGGCGCCATCACGACCAGTGCGGGGTTTGGGTCATGACATGCATAGATTTGAATGGGTCGTCGATACCTTCAGTATTGTCGAAGAAGTTACAGAGAACAGTGAAGAAGAATTAATGTTACCGTTGCCTACGAGATTAAACATGGTGTCCTTTACTGATATCGAGAAACAGATTCCAGGCGATGAATTCGGTAAACAAACATGACTTTATGCAATTTCATTTTTTGCTGAAAAAAAACACGTGCTTCTTCATTATCAAATTTAAATAATTGCATCCTACTTTTATACGCACATGTTTTTCCAAATCAGACCTGGTGGCAGTTGTGGCATATTACGGTACCATGAAATATCAGGGGAGCGGAAACAGAAGATTTCAATAGGCTATTCTCATAGACGACAAGTAAGTAATATACACTTTAACTACCTCCAAAAACAAAATATGTATTTAACACTGCATCCTTAATTTCATAGAAAAAAACCTTTTCATTTTACTATATGGGGAGAATTGGCTGACAACGATGGAGCTAAACTACTGCAGCAGCTACATAGATATCATGTCATTGTTGCAAAACGAATAGCTGTTTCTAACTTTAAACAAGGTATTCCAAGTAACTTTAAGTCACACATGTACATTAACTAATGTTCGACTTTATTCATTAATAAGTATAAGCAGAGGTCCGATTAACAACAAGGTTCAACTCCTCAATCTTAATCGACCCTTTGTACCCGCAGGCAGCAAAGCTAATGAATTGGTACGAAGCGGGTTTTATTTGCACACGAATACGTTCCATTTTTTAATACCATATTATACCAAAAAACTCACAATATCTACTATTACATCGCAGTGCAAAGGACAACAAGCAGATGCTAATTGAATGCACTCTCAAAAGTACATCAGAATCGTCTTCGACACTAAATGTTGCACCTTTTGAAGATGAAATAGTTCCCATTTCAAGCATTCCTTCACAGTCGACCGTGAGTATATTAAAACATATGACTCGGGCTTCGCATCGATTGTTCTTTTGCTTCTATATCGGATTAGAAATAGCCTCTTGCGAGTTATTCTATGTCGTAATTACGAAGTAGTATCTTCTTATTATTTTCTCAACAGGCACAGTTTCTATGTTGAAGGAGAAATATCATTGCCAAGTGAATTCCAATTTTTCTTCGTACTTTTATGATTTGAGTGCCAATATCTAGCACGAATCAAGTGCAAAAAGAAAGTTCTCTCTATCCACTGAAAACTAGAGAGAATGTTGATTCCAAGGTAATAACAGTTCTTACCATTGACATACTATGACTAACGACATCTAATAGCTAAAACTTTATCATCGGACAAACACACCATTGTAGATGTGAATTTGAAGTTGACATCACGGACGGGAGCGGAACAATAACATTAGTAGTGTAAGATAAACTAGCTGAAAGAATGCTTTCACTGACAGCAGACCAGATATATGAAACTACCATTGTCAAGGTTCATATACTAACAACTCTAGAATCATTTTGCATCAGTCGAAATTAATTTAAAATCCTCACTTTGCTAGTTCTGTGGTAAACTTTTTTCCATAGAAACAACTGTTACCTGTTGAGCATATCAGAGAGCACCTGCTAGACAAGATGTTCAAAATTCATTTACAGAAATCACTACTTAGAACACCGGATAGACCACTTGGTACCTTTGTCATCTCATCTTACACGCAGAAACAGACTGTCTTCGACCTGGCACAATCTTCAACATCAGCTACTATTGCTGAGGGAAGTATAATGAAGCTAGAATCAATCAGTACTTCTGAAGAAGCAGATCGCAGTCCGTCGACACAAGATGAAAACCCAAGGAAAAAACCAAACGTACAATCAACAAGTCCTTTGCAAAACTAATCAAGGTTGGAAATTATTTCTTGATAGGCCATATTTTTTTAAGATTATGTTGTCTGCTTTTAGGTTACTTAATGAACAATTACATTTACTGCTATCAATTTCTATCCATTAAAATACTTATTTTATGTTAAAGTACACTTATGGATTTTGCTTATACGATAAAGCCTATGTTGCTCGCGCTATACTACAATTTCAGAATTTTCGAACAATTCAAAATAAAATCTATGTCCAATGTCTTTACAATTCTTGGTCCAAATTACGTATTCTCAACTACTCTTTTAAAATTAACTCTCAGTTTGTTGTTCATACAGATGCCTCATCAGATTTGAAGCGCAACAAAGGTCGTCTCAATGGTCTTTGACAGCTTGCATTTAAGGCAGATTTTGGTGGTGTTGTTATACTACAGTACAATCTTCCACATTTTGTGTAAATAAGTACGTAGATTTTCATGAACTGTTTACTGCAGTACAATGTTTCACATTTTGTATAAATAGCTAGACATACTGACTCTTATCAAGGTAGATTTTTGTAAGTACAATCTTCCGCATTTTGTGTAAACAACTACGCAGATTTTCATGAATTTTTATTGTTAGCTATGCAAACTAACTCTTTGAATAATCTGGTAAATCCAAGTAGCTCCCATTATATATACATTTATGTTTTCATCATACCTCCGAAACTTCAAAGCGTTTCACTGTAGCTCTAATCCAACAGCAAAATCACAACCGCATACCTATACAAAATAATATACAAGCTTATCTTAGTGCAAACAAATTTACTCTCAAAAAGAAAACATTTACTATCAAGATCTAAAATGAAAACCCATCCACTCAATATTACCCATACACCCTTACGTTAAGGTTGCTTGGGTCCGAGCAAAGCCCGGGCTAACCCTACTAGTTTTACTATATAGAAGAGCCCTAAAGCAAGTAGGAGATCGTCGACATCCTTGTTTGCTGACATAGGGGCATTTAGGTAATTTCTCTTACTTCTCAAATTACCGTAGGACAGTAGCTAATTTTTTTTTAGTAGGACAGCTGGGAGATAACGACGCATAACAGCATAAACAAGTGGTAACCACCGGGTTTTATTATGCTCATCACCTTTCACCGTTGTACTTCTCTATTTTCTCCAACAGTTCTCAGTTTCTCTCCTGGAAATATCAATTCTTCTGTTGAGCCTTTCTCTAATATTGTACTGCCCTTTTTTATTTGCGTTGCTTCCTGTTTTATTAGTCTTTTATTGAGAATTTGTGAATAAAAAATATAGTTCTGTTGGTTTTCAAATAAAGTACTGATTAAAAATATGTGAATAAAAAATTATTGTTCTGTTGGTTCTAGAATAAAGCACTGAAAGCTCTTTCTTTGGGTCAGTATTATGGTTAAAATTTTAATTACATCTTCTACAGATTGAGCTGCCACACTTCTAACAAAATTCGTATGATTGCTAAAATTGCAAAAGTGCATGGGATAGGTTTCCAAAGAAAATATTAATTTTGTTTTCCTAACTTTGGGTATCGAGGCATCGAAAGGTAAAACTTTGGGTATCGAGGCAAGCACCGCAGTAGGATACGATTCTTCTCAAACGGTTATGGGTGTCTTTGTTTGTGCCTAAGTAAGTAATTTATCGACGCCCACAATGTGTTTGTTTTATTTAGTTAATGACTTCTTAAGTCTATTAGTAGTGGAGATTTATGTGATGGTTGTGATATTGTCTCGCACAATCATAGCATCATTATTATAGATCTTTTTAGAAAAAAAATTCTCTTTATTGTCTGGTTTGGAGCTCTTGTGTTATTTTTTCCCCTATTGTCCTCTCTGTACTGTCCAATTTTGCTGTCTCGACAATAGATAGTTTCATGTTGCAGTATTCTTGGGGATCATATGCTCATTATTCAGGTCTTATTGGTGATTACTAGAGTTATTCACTAAAAATTATTCAGGTCTTATTGGTGATTACTAGAAATATTCACTTGAAAAGGAATATTCACTAGAAATATGTAAAATATAACATAAGTTAGCGCACATCTATGGTAGGCACCATGCATGAATTGGGTTCTTGAACTATACTGCTTTTGGAAGATCTAATCTTTCTTCTAGCTAACATTGACGAGACTGTTTGCTCGACTGATTGTAATTTATATCCCGCGCTGTCAGTGATTAATTTGTTGTTGGCTGATTTGGTCTATTTTAGGATAAAAGGGGTCATAATCAGTGGATAAAAGAAGAAATGATTTTCTGCACTTGTAGAAACTGAAGGTTTACTGCTTGTGTGATAGGAGGGAGGAAGGAAACTGTCAGTATAGGTAGCATGACTTCTGCTTGAATTCTCATCTTATTAAATTATCTCTTAGGTATATGAATGTTGTGAGCTATGAAGTATATGTCCATCTTGCTGACTGCAACAAATGCTTGTGCTCGCATTCATCTGCTGAGGTAATGCTAAACTCAACTTTTCTACTACAGTTATAACTATATGCTATTTGTTTTCTTCTATGAATGACATATGTTTGGGAGTTGTTGTGGAATATCTCCGTTAAAGAAATACGATATTAAATTTTGCTCAAGACGACTTATTCTTCAATTTAAGACAAATGAAGAATTCCGATAATTCTTTGTTAATCTGATAACTTTTTGGCTAATACTACTGGTATATGAAACAAAAATTTCATGCTTTTAATCTATATTTCTAACAAAGGCAAAGAGATTAAAATATTCTGTTGCCAGCTGTTTTGCTTATTGTTCATTTGAGTGATTCTTGTTGCAACAAATTGTTTGCTATTATACTATAAATAAGGGTTGGCTTGTGTGCTTACATAACGTCGTACCTAAACTGTTATCCTTTTGAAAAAGGGATAGTTTTCTGATGCGCAATATACATATCAAAGTATATCTATTTGATTTTGTTTGAACAACAAGGCTTATTTTTGGATTAAAACAAATACATCTAAAAGAAAAAAAAAGTGATTGGGAGGAAAAGCTTTGAGCTTTGCTCAATTTAGAGACAAAGAAAGAGAGGAAATGAAAGCTCATACATCACATGAACAAAATCGCAGTCCTTTTTCTCCGAAATAAAGATATTACTCTTTCAGTTGTCATTAAAATCAACTGTGAGTGTTCCAATCACATGCTTTTACAATTTCTTGATAATTCGCTATTTATTTCAGAATAAACTTATTTATGAGCACTATCCAAACATATGATGCAGCAACTATCTGTACGGTAACTTCAATTTTTGTGTGTCTTTCTGTGTTAGCGCTCAGTCAGTAAATATATGTGTTTTCTTTGTAATACCCCAATAATATCATCAATCAATTTTGAAGACTATTTTGAGTAGAATTTTCATAGTCACTCTTAATTTATCTTAAATGGATTAGTGTTGCCACAATATGTTCACTAAGTATACCGCTAAATATATTTGGTACTGTTGGTTTAATTTAGAGGAAATCTGTGGCAAGGCATATTTACTTTGGCTTGATTGCTTTAATCATATTATACTCTTTTGCTTGCGACAAACTTCTCTTTGAGTTAGCTTACACGTGCTCTTTTACTAATAAGAGAAAACATATGCTACAGAGAGCTTACTCATCTGATTGGTTCCTAATTCAATAATTGGTTCACCCGTGTCGCGACCCCAGTTCGCCCTCCGTGAACTGTCGTGACGGCACCTAGTCCCTACGACTAGGTAAGCCTAAAACCCGGAAACTCACGGGAACAGAAGCTAAAAAGGAATACAGTAAAGTGCTCTAATCCCCAGAAATGTCTACATCAATAGTACGATAGAAGGTCTAACACTACAGATAGAGTAAAGAAGGAGACTCTTCGGTCTGCGGACGCGGAAGATGTACCTCGAAGTCTCCGAAATGCTCCCTGCCTCAAGGGTGATACACCTGGGTAGAAGTACCTGGATCTGCACATGAAAAACATGCACAGAAAGGGCATGAGTACACCACAGTGGTACTCAGTAAGTGCCAAACCTAACCTCGGTTGGGTAGTGACGAGGAAGGTCGGGGCCCTACTGAGGTTAAATAAGATGCAGGTTTAACAGTGTAAAATGACAGTGTAATTAAATAACACATGATATAAAGGGCCACAACAACTATTACAAAGGCAAGCAAAACACAGTGAAAGAACATAACTCAGCTCAGAAATAACAATCGGGGATCTCCCAGGATACCGTCCTGTAGTCCCCAAATATAAATATCATGTCCAGTGGATCTCCAGGTGCAGTCCCGCAGTCCAACTCATAAAGTGCAGGGGGATCTCCCGGAATGCAATTCCGTAGTCCCAAAGTAAAAATACAGGGGAGCTCCCGGGATGCCGTCCCGTAGTCCAAAAATAAAGTGCAGGGGGATCTCCCGGAATACCGTTCCGTAGTCCCAAAGTAAATACACAGCAACAACAGAACTCAATGCAATCAATTTCATATCAAAGTGAAGCAGGTAATCCTAACTTAGCATGGTTTACGTAGTACAATTAAGGCAGTTAAAAACAGATAAAGCAATTTAGTCAAGTAGACATGCTTCTCTAAGCTATAGCATGTTTAAATATCAAACAGTGTAAGCAAAGAAAGGAGGAACACAATTCAAGGCTATTTTAAAAGAAAAACCGGATTTCCAACAATTAGCACAAGTGCGCGCTCGTCACCTTACGCACGAGGCATTTCAATTATCACAATATCAATCCTAAGGGGAAAAAGTCCCCCACACAAGGTTAGACAAGCCACTTACCTCGAACCAGCTCCAAAAATCAACTTGAAACCACACGTTTGCCACGAGTATCCGGCTCCAAATGGCCCAAATATATTCAATTCAATTACATATCGTAAATAACATCTCAAGCAACTGATTCTACAATTTAATTCAAAGCTAATAAGCGAAATTATGTAAAATGACCAAAACGCCCCTCAGGCCAACGTCTCGGAATCGAGTGAAATTTATATTTTTAGAAACCTCGTACTCTCACAAGTCTATACATAACAAGAACACTGAAATCGGAGTCCAAATGACCCCTCAAATCCTTAACTAAAGGTCTAAGAACTTTTCCCCCAATTTCCACCAAAATTCTGAAATCAAATGATGAAATTAACTAAAGATTGATGAAATATAACTAGAAAGGGTTAAAGAATCGTTACCCAGAGATCTCCTCTTCAAATCCCTCCCAAAATCGCCCTCTCTCGAGCTCCAATTCGATTTTCCAACTTTTGAAACCAAACCCTCAAATTTTCATATTTCTGCCCAGCTAATTCCGCATCGGCGGTCAAGGGACCGCATCTGTGGTCCCGCTTCTGCGGACCAAAATGTCGCATATGCGACTTTCATTAAAGAGCCCAGGAGCCGCATCTGCGGTTCTTCTTTCGCAGATGCGAAACTGCTTCTGCGGAACCTGAAGGGACACCCAAAACCCACATATGCGGTTGTCTTGCCGCATCTGCGGAGCCGCATCTGTGGTTCCCAAACCGCAGATGCGAAAACATCAGAAGCAGCAAAAATCTGCAATCTCTTAACTTCAAAAATCTTTTCGTCAACCATCCGAAATCATCCCGAGGCCCCCGGGACCTCAACCAAAAGAACCAATAACACCTAATACCTCATTCAAACTTGTACCAATACTTAAACCACCTAAACAACGTCGGAAACTTGAATTAATCATGGATTTAAGCCTAAGAACTTCAAATTTCCTCAAAATACGCTTTCGAGCAAAAACCTAACCAAAACACGTCCGAATGACCTGAAATTTTGCACACACATCCTAAATGACATGATGGAACTACTGCAACTTCCGGAATTCCATTCCGACCCTCGGATCAAAATCTCACTATCGGACCGGAAACTTCAAAAATTCAAACAAGGGCATATCAAGCCTAAATTAGCTACGGACCTCCAAAACACAATCCGACCACGCCCCCAAACCCGAAATCACCTAACGGAGCTAACGGAACCATCGGATTTCCATTCCGAGGCCGTCTTCATACTGTTCTGACTACGGACTACTTTCCAACACTTAAGCTCTCATTTAGGGACTAAGTGTCCCAAAACTCTCCGAAACTCAAGATCGAACATCCCGGCAAATCAAAATAGCAGAAATAAACTTGGGGAAAGCAGTTANAGAAATAAACTTGGGGAAAGCAGTTAATAGGGAATCGGGGCGTAAATTCCAAAAATGACCGGCCGGGTCGTTACATCCTCCCACACTTAAACATTCGTTCGTCCTCGAACGAGCACAAAGATATACCTGAGGTAGTGAAATTTGAGGGTACTGGCTGCGCATATCCTGCTCGGTCTCCCAGGTCGCCTCCTCGACCGGCTGGCCCCGCCACTGAACCTTCACGGACGCAATGTTCTTCGATCACAGCTTCTTGACCTGCTTGTCCAATATTGCCACTGGCTCCTCAACATAAGATAGATCCTTCTCCAATTGGACTGAGCTGAAATCCAACACGTGCGACGGATCACCGTGATACCTCCGGAGCATAGAAACATGAAATACCGGATGAACCCCTGCCAGGCTAGGAGGTACGGCAAGCTCATAGGCAACCTCCCCAACTCTCCTCAATATCTCAAAAGGGCCAATAAACCTCGGACTCAATTTCCCTTTCTTCCCAAATCTCATAACGCCCTTCATAGGCGACACCCGAAGCAGAACCCGCTCTCCAACCATATAGGAAACATCACGAACCTTCCGGTCCGCGTAACTCTTCTGTCTGGACTAGGTTGTACGTAGCCTATCCTAAATCACCTTGACTCTCTCCAAGGCATCCTGAACCAAATCCGTGCCCAATAGTCTGCCCTCACCCGGCTCGAACCAACCCACCGGAGATCTACATCGCCTACCATATAAGGCCTCGTACGGTGCCATCTGAATGCTGGACTGATAGCTGTTGTTGTAGGCAAACTCCGCCAATGGCAAGAACTGATCCCAAGAACCTCCAAACTTAATCATGCACACACGGAGCATATCCTCAAGAATCTGAATAGCGCGCTCAGACTGCCCGTCCATGTGAGGGTGAAATGCTGTGCTCAACTCCACCCGGGTACCCAACTCCTACTGTACGTCTCTCCAGAACCGCGATGTGAACTGAGTACCTCTATCTGAAATAATGGAAATTGGAATACCATGCAGACGGACAATCTCCTGGATATAAATCTCCGCCAACCGCTCCGAGGAGTAGGTAGTACACACAGGGATGAAATGCGCAGACTTGGTCAGCCGATCCACAATAACCCAAATGGCATCGAACTTCTTCAAAGTCCGTGGGAGTCCAGATACGAAGTCCACGGTGATCCGCTCCCACTTCCACTCTGGAATCTCTATCTGCTGAAGCAATCCACCCGGTCTCTGGTGCTCATACTTTACTTGCTGACAATTAAGGCACCGAGCTACAACCCAACTATATCCTTCTTCATCCGCCTCCACCAGTAGTGATGTCTCAAATC